GCAGCTCCCCCCCCCCCCCCCGCCACTGGAGAGGCAGGTAAGTTCAGATGTGTGCACAACATGGGAGTTTAAAGGGCCATAAATTGAAGCAGTGTTTTTAAAAACCCGCTACTTCAATTTAGGGCCCCAGTTTCATCTACACACCCCCCCTAATTTCCTGTGATTCTGTGATCATATTCTCTGATGCATACAAGCTGAGTTGGGGTTAGGGTACTCTTCTCAGTCATTTCATTAAGTGTCAGGGCAAAAGGTGTCAAACAGGAGAGCATTGTGGAAAAATGCATACTTTTGGTTAAACTTGGCTTTCAGTATGGTCAATATATGATTTAAATAATCTTGCTTATGTTTTGAAAATGGAACTGTTTTTCAGCATGTATTATCATCTCAGCTTAATATTTATAGTTAAAACAAAATGTATTAGGTATTAATTATGGCCCTACAGGATGCAACCATTTATCAGTTTTGCCACATGGTAATTTGCATATAAACATTCTCAGAGTAGAAAAGGTAGTCAAGTTGTTGCTTTTTCTTGTTACCTAAGAATATACTATGATAAATAATTTAAAATTGCTATTTTCCTGTAAGATACAGAATGATCTGCATATAAGACCACCTCTTTCCCTTTTCCCCAAGGATAAAACTGCTCACAGTTCTTTAACCCAGGGGGGTAACAGGACTGTTACTCTCACCCCTTTCCCCCTGCCACTGATTTTTACTAACAGTGACTAAAACCCTCAAATTACCACCAGGTAAGGGGCATGGGAAGGTGTGAGTGGGTTGCAGCAGTTTTAACCCCTGGCTTCCAGAGCTGCCCTAACCCTGCAGGCCAATGTGGTGACAAGGGCTGACACACACAGATGTTTTGCCCAGTCCACAAGAAGTCCTGAAGGCTGGATGACCCTCCTTTGCAGGCCGGATACTGGCTGCATGTTTGACATCCCTACCCTCAAGACTTTTGCATTCCTTTTTTTCTCTGTGATATTGCTTTAACAGGAGGTTGGAGAGGCCACGCTTAGATTTCACTCCCGAGTGCTGGGAGAAGTATGTTTGAAACTCTCCAGTCTAAGGAGGGTCAGGTCTCCCACTTAATGGACTAATATTTAGCCACTGTAGGAAAAGCCAAGTCCCTTGTCAGAACATTGTGCTTTAGAATAGCCATGGTTATTGTTTTTGTGCTGAAATAAACTCTCTGTGTGTGAGCAATCCTCGAAGCATGCTTTGTGGATTCAGGAGACCTGGAAACCAGGTGGAGGAATTGGAATTCAGGCGGGAGTTTGGGACTGAGTAGCTCAGACAGGGGCAGTATGGGGGATATGCAGAAAGAAAACTTTCAGGTAAAAAAAAAAAAAAAAAAAAGGCACGGGCCTCT